TGGCAGGAAACGGAACTGGCGTGCTCAGTGCTGGGGTGGTGATGTAATCTCCGTGGGAGGTCCCCCAGCACAGAGCTCTTAAAGCTATAGAAGCCTCCGACTTTTCCTGCTCAGCCACAGAATAACCCATGAGTATGGATGCACAGAGGACGTGAAGGAGAACATTACAGTTTACAGTTAGATTGTTATATGGGGCTAGGCAAAAGATCCTCTCTTGCCTATAGTGAAACAACTTAATTGGCTCCTAGGATTCCTAATTCAATTCAAAAGGCTAGTCTTTCCCTTTAAAGTTCAAGTTCTAAATGACTTCAAATGTTATGAAAATCACTGTGGTGCAGTGAATAGAGTATTACATTAGGACTCAGAACTCCTGAATGATACAAGAGGCAAAATCCTGTTCATGCAGAAGTAGTATTATCAGTGCCACCTAATCCTTGAGTTTCCATGGTCACGGTACCTAAATCACTGAATTATTCAGCTACATACCCCGCAACAATCCCCTCGAAAGATGGGGATGGTAAATCACTTTGAAGTACTCTCTACCAGGAAAATCCTAAAAAGGGTCACCATAAGCTAGAATTGGCTTGATGGCATATGATGATGAAGATTATTGTGAGCAAGAGACAAAAAGTGTGCTGTCCTCCCCAAAAGAACAAATTGAACTAAAGGAGGGATACGTCATTGGAGAGTTAATAAATTTAGACATGGAAGGAGGGAATAATAAAGTGGTGGAAGTGTTTTTAGCTGAGGGTCAACAAGAGGGGGAAAAGGAGGAGCTAACAGAGTGGAGGTGGGACGATATAAAAGAAGAGAGTAGAGGAAGAGGGGTCAGTTGGAGTGGAAGGATGAAGCGGTGCAGACGATAGAAACGGGAGTGGAGAGAGATTGAGTAGCAAAGCTGAGAAAAGATTTCCCTAACCTGATGAGTGGAGGAGGATTGCTACCAGATCCACCGGACATCCCTAAGAAAGCTAAGTGTGGAACAGGAGGGAGATGGATTACGGGGACAATTCTCTCTTCCACGGTTATGGAGATGAAAGGGACACCATGTGGTTCCCACCCCTATCTCCCACGGTTGGAGGGGCAACTGGTCAAACACCCATGTTGCGGGACAACCTGTGCAATGTCGAGCACTCCCATACTGAACCCAGCGGGCAACTTTACCCCTGGAGTGAAGAAAGTTTAAGTAATGTAAAGGAAGACTAAAATATTAGAGGGAAACGTTATCATGTGTTGACGGATGTTGAACTGTTAGATCCCTTTGGTTTAGGGATAGTTGATGTTAGTAAAAATAAAGAAACGTTGTTTGCATCTTCTGCGACATCTCCATCCATTCTTCCCGACGAAACTGCTGGCCCGCCTACACTCACGAAAGAACCCAATCACAATTATATTTGAACTGACTTTCTAAGTTTTAATTTGTTGGTTTGTATTCTTCCCTTCATTATAAACATATATATTTCTATTGTTTCTTATCAGTCACTCTTGGTATATATAAACATTTATACTAAAGATTTTGGTTATAAATTTTGTATGTACGTAACATATGCATGTGGGATGTAGTGGTGCTGTGGGTTAAATCACAAAGCCTCTGGGCTGCAAGGTCAAAAGATCAGCAGTTCAAATCCACGTGGCGGAGTGAGCTCCCATCGCTTGTCCCAGCTCCTGCCAACCTAGCAGTTCGAAAGTATGTAAAAATACGAGTAGATAAATAGGTACCACCACGGTGGGAAGGTAACGGCGTTCCGTGTCTAGTCACGCTGGCCACAGAAACTGTCTACGGACAAATGCTGGCTCTACGGCTTGGAAACGGGGATGAGCACCACCCCCTCGAGTCAGACACGACTGGACAAAAATTGTCAAGGGGAACCTTTACCTCTACCTTACATACAGATGTATGTACCTACGTAATATGAGTTTCCAATGGATGACATCTAAAGTTGTTGAGTTTATTTGCTGATGTTGTGCAGGCAATGCAAACTTTTAGATGTTCTGAACTGTTGCCACTGACCACAGAAATAAAGTGTAAGTGATGCTTTTCTTCGTTCAACAATAGAATGTCACACCTTAATGCTAAACCTCTGTTTTTATGCATCTACAGTATTTACAATTAATATCTGTAAGTGTTGGTGAGTTTTAATTAATTAAAGTCTTACTGGTGAGTTTACAGATTCATTTCGCACCAGATTATCTAATCACATGGTTAGACAGCTCTGAAAATCTATGGTGATCAATTATACAAATGCCCTTTCATGCAGTGTAATGAAGGAAACAGAATAGCAAATTCACGATTTCACTATTTTGGGTACATTTACAATAATAATTAGGCTTGCACATTCTTAAATGTTTACTAGCTTTCCAACTAGTAAAGTCTGCTGATAATATATATACACACACATAAATGGAAAAAAGAGAGAAAAACACAAAGCGGAAGAGGTTATTTATAAATTCATAAGTAGTAGAAACCTTTTAGATATCCAATATCACAAATGCTACATTCCAAAACTACAAATCATCTTTCTCAATTGTTAAGAAAACATTACTTTGAAAAAAAAGTGGGTGGAATAGGGCCCTGAAGGAGTTGTATTCGGAGAATCTTGGTTTCCCTGAAAAATGCAGTATTGTAGTGATCTATGATAGTTGGTACAGCATCTTCGCAATGATATCATTTTGAATGATTTGGAAAGCTAAGCCAAAGTCCTCTTCAAGGCCTCCACTGTCTTTCTGATCCTTTCAAAGGAAGCAGCTGTGATCATGATTATGTGTAAACACTCCCCCTTCTAAAATATTGCAGGTGGGCTTTTGGGGTTTTTTATTTTGTTTCGTTTTGCAAAATTGCAATTTCTATACACTATTTGCAGACGTCTGCTTATGTTTTTTTGATAATTAGAAGCTAGTATTTTCCTGATTTCCCAAATGCAGCAATTCTAAAATCATTATGATATATCGTTTTCCTTTAAATTGTAGATCGTGTCACAGTAACACATAAGTCTTATAACTTGCCACCATCACTGCTGAATTCCATGGAGATGGATTTGCTATTACAAAGCAGATGTAGCATAAAGTGGCAAAATTCTGGCCATATGATAAAATCTTACCAATAATGTTAATGGATCCAGACATTCACCTTAGAGGTCACTTCCAAACTCCCCCCCGCCCACCCTGGGAGGATAATATAAAACAAAGCAAACCATCCATAGTCATAAGACAACAGATCCCTGTTTGAAATAAATGTACAATATGTTCAGCTGGTGAACAAAAAGTACTGCTATGCTTTCTAAAGGAAACATGCTAGGAGAAGAAGCTTGGGTTTTGTTTTGTTGTTTTTTTTTACACCACTTGCTCATTTTAAAAATCAATATAGTTGCAAAGGCACCTCTTCTGTAAACTAAAACTAAAAGTCCTTGAAAACTTTCAAAGTTCTACAGAGTGGTTTTGGAGTACATTTCTGGGAAATTTGCATGATTTTATAGTACTAGGAGTATGTGCAAATTTTATCATCTAGGGCAAAAGAACAAAAGAAACATTAGCAGCTGAGACCCACAGAATCAAACACCACTCTTATCAAAGCACAAGAAATTATAATTTCCATAAAGCACAATGTTATTTTTCTAATGGATCCCTGATCCATAATGAGAAGCAATCTAATGTATAGATTTTGCATTCAACATCCCTGTCAAAAACTACATCACACCTCAAATGTTAATGGCGCTGGGGAGCTGGGGTGATTAATACCATAACAAATGGTATATATTACAAATTTTCTTTTGTTCTTTACTCACAACAATGCATACAGCCAGGATTTAACCTTTAAGGGTTAAAGAGTTTAATCAATGTCAATGTCTGATCTTCTGAAGGCGATAAAGAACAGTCTGTCTAGCGATACCCAACAGAACATCATTTTGTCAAGCCACAAAGCACCCAAAAGCTTGTCAAGTAAGTTACCAGAAACCTCTTTGTGGTTAGAACTCAGCTCCTTCCTGCTTGACCTATTATTTGATATTTGACCACTTGCTTGCAAGACACTTGCTCTTTCCAGCTGAAATGTCACTGGGGCATCTTGTCAGCTCCCCGACATCTCGGCCTGACATACAATTTTACTTTCGTGTGCTACAAGGCAGAAAATGCAGGGCAATGGCCTTGCTTTAAATTCTGTCAGCATCAAAGATGGGCGTCACTCTTGGGTCCTACCAAAAACAACAACAACAACAACAACAACAACAATTTTGAAGGTCAAAACAGCCATTATGTTACAGTCTTGTGGTTGAGGCTAAATTTATTACCTGCAACCCTGGTCTGGGAACTGCCCTTATAAAAGTATATAAACATATCATCTAAAAATCCTCCCTGCACCATCGTTTCTACTTCCTCATCAAATGCCGACTTGATAAAAAGGATGAGTTTGCAATGCCTACAGGGACCGGATTCCACACTTAACTTGTTCAAATGGGCAAGTGGTATCATGTAGCTTTACAAGGAGCAACCTGACCTTCTCACATTGACCAGGAGTGACATTATTGTGCAGGAGGAGAAGCAGTCACATCATTTCTGTTTTGCACAACCTGCTTAAAGTTTGCAACTAAATGCTTGTCTTCAGTTGAGCTGACAAGAGAGAAGAGGGGGCTCAGTGAACCATGGCAGGGCTGCCATGAAATGACAGGAATCATTGGCATACATTTCAAATAGCTCTCTCAATCCTATTAAAGTATTGCAGGCCTGCTTTAAAATAGACAAGTATGAAACAACTTTGATAGATAGAGACTAAAATGGCTTATTGATTTTTTTAAGTCTGAGGAAAATTACCCAACATGTGTCATTCTTTAACATTTAAAAATATATTACATAAAAATGAGCTACTATGATAAATAAAACTTTTTAAAATGGATTGCTGGGGGTATGATGTGTAGGCATGCATGAAATCCACCCCACCACCTTTGCAGTGAATAATACAAAATTATAGCCACAGAAATACATAAAGACAGAACTGCAGACTTAAGGCATTGAAATAAAATAGATTTTAGTTAGGTTCTCCCTACCTCCAAATGCTTACAAAAATACCAAATTCACTATCTGTTTTACATTGCCTATTTTGTGGCAGCGGTAACATTTAGGGTTGACAAATAGAACGAAGAAACTGGAGAATAGGGTTTGTCCTGCACTAAAATGGAAGATGTATCGTAATCCGATTCGGCCTTCAGGGGCAAAAAATCTGGAATGCAACTTTGGTTTAGCTGGTGTAATGATCTTGAAGCTGCAGGGATGCTTGAAGTGTTTCGTGAGTCCTGGAGGGGAAAAAAAAAACAAATATGAGCCATCAATCAATTTAAAAGAGTAGTAAAAACAATTTCTAAAATCTCTAATATGCCCACATTTTACAGCAATATCAGCCACAATCAAATACAGTGAAGCAGGTTTAATTCCCATTAATTTCAATGGGAGTCAGTAGGCCATGTTTATCTTAATTTTGACAATGCTTCAATGCCATTAACTTCTGAAAGTACATTCCTTTGTTTCACTTTATGACACTTTTGAGGAGATAATTTTCATAGTTTTCTTATTTGAATAGAGTAGCAAAAGCTTCTTACAGAGAAACTTAAAATTGCCTACATAATTTTTCAGTTTAAAGAAAATATTAGGATCAGTATTGAGAACCATATACTTGGTTTACTATAAACATAAAAAAATAATAATAACAAACAAAATACCAAAAAAGTTTAAAAAGAGAAGGAATTGTGCTCATTCCTAACCTTTAGATATCCCCCAGTTTTGAAACATTTTTCTTTTCCTGTCTGTGGAATGCATTAACCATAGTAAGAAACTACGTTTACCAAAACAGGGCAGATTACTGCAGAATGTTATTCACAGTACTCAGGAAGATTATTTGGAAATATAACACCTGTTCAACAATATCTAGAAATAAAACCGAATCCAACTGAACATTCCAAACTGAATGAGGATACTGTCTGAACAATACATACTGAGGCTGCATAGTTTTAAAATGCATATTCTCTCCTTCTTCTTCTCTCTCACACACCTCCATCACTAAAGCTATTACACACAGATTTACCTAAAGTATGATTTCTTGGCTTATAACGATTATTCCTATGTTTGGTGTTGGTTTCTTCTTCTTCTTTTGTATCATTCCAGTAAGCCATTCTGCTAACAACTGTAAAGCTGAAAATGTTGTTCATCACCCTCAACACCACCATGATATACTTCTCCTGATTCAACCACTACTACGGTGGGCATTTGATGAACATTAAGCCTACCTAGTATAAGATTTAATTACACAGTAAAAATTGCTATAAGGGAATATTTGGAATTCTTCCACTCTGTGCTTCAGGTTTTTTGAGAGCTTCCCCCTCCTCATTCCCATTACTGCTGCTGGGGAGGAAGAAAATCAATGACTGCATCTAACACCTAGTTCAGTGTTTTTCTTTGATGTTGGCTCTTTGATTTCCTAATACAACATGAGCTATCTTGTAGCTGGCAGAAAAGATGGACCTTTAAGAACCACCAGTATGGTAGCAAGTTCAAATGGTTACCCCAAAGTGATATTTAAGAAGTAGTCATACTTTCAACTCTACAAAAAGATTGGGTTGTGAAAATGAGTTAGACAGTACACCATAAACCTGTAGCACTACCAGATGTTAGTCAGCCCCACTACACTAAGTGTATTATAGCCCGAGTATTAATAACAACTTAATTGTATTGAATAAGAGCCCTTTCAATTTCAAATACCTTGCACCCCTATTACTTTAATCAGCAAGTTTTAATTTAACAGAATATTTAAACAGTATCTCAGGAAGAAAATAAAGGCAAAAAAGGATTGCTTGGCTTACTTCAAAATAGAGAAGTATGGTTTTGTAGAAATTCCTGGGCTGTACTGCATAAACTATGCTACATAAACAAAGATAAATTGTCATTTTCAAGAGAAGCTTAAATGAGCTTGCTAAAATGATCATGTGTAAAGGACAACTTGCTTTACATCTTTGTTACCAACTTGTTATCTCTGTTAACATACTTTATCGTTCTAGTTAAAAGATGTCAATGCTTCTCACATTTTATTTTCTTTAAAATACTGCTGTTTCTTCAAAAAAGAAAACAACTGCAAAAACCCAAGCAAGGGGGTGAAACATCAGGTTTCCTTAGAGAGTTGCACAAAAAAGTATGAAACTTAATGATTGGCAGATAGTCAATAGACTATTACAGGAAAAGGCTTCAGTCTTCGGCAGAGGTGATGGGAGGAGGGGGTCAGGTCTGTTTCAATTCTCAAGCCCAGGCTGCACTTCCTAGGAAGCCAGGGTAGAATAACATTCACCAAATGGAATGGAAATCAGATTGCTACAGCAGCCTTGGCCAAAGCAGGAAACGCTTTTGCTGGTTATTACTCTAAACTGTTTCAATTCTGAACCTCTTTATGAATTTAAAGCAAATAGGGTAGAAACATTTCCCTAAAAGCACAGATCAGCAGTAACAGATAGAAGTAAATGGAGTTAGCCCAGTCAGTTAGTTTTTTGGGGGAAACAGAATAATAACTTGATTTATTTAGACTTAAAGTATGCATTTACTTTTTAGAAGTATATTGGAATGTAAATAGATGATCCATTTATGTTCCAATGAAGAAAAATCTGAGAAGCAGCATTGATGGATGTTGGCGTACCCAGAGTCCATGGGCTCTCTACCCTATCCCAACTCATCTCTGCCAAAAGCAGCAGAGTTTGAGAAGCAAAGGTTGCAGGAAGATGTCCAACCCATTTCCTCTTCAGGAGTTCATTTTGCTGAAGAAGAGAGATGAGGAGAAAGTCATTTGTGGTCCTTTAGCAGCCCAAGCTTTATTATATATAAGCAATCTGTCTGTGAGCCAGACAAGCAATTCAGAATTTTATTATTGGATGTAGCTCCCCCTCAGTGTCCTGGTAGGAAATTCTCTCACCTCCAGCACCATGTAAATTAGCTTGTTTTGTTGTCTTCAGGACATAAGTACTGGCATCCTTTGACATCTGATGGAAAAGTTTCCTCAATCATCTCCTTGCAACATTAATGTGTTTTCAGCCAGGTTTACTGGCCTAGTTTCAGGTAGCACCAAGAAGTGGGGAACAGAGGAATGCAGGAAATATTGTCTAAACAATGCAGCAAGACATACTAAAATGTTCACTCTTGTGGTGATGGGATACTATTTGGCCGGCACTTAGGGCCAGCAATGATTTCATCATTACCAAGTGTAGAGAAATTGAGACTGCAACTTTCATCATCATTGTTTAGTATGCTGGCTAAGACTGATGGCAGCTGCAGACAAATAGCAACTAGAAAGCCATAGAGTGCAGGAGACCTAGGTTCCAACACCCATTGGGCCATGAAGCCCATTGGGTGACCTAGAACCTGTCCCACTTTCTCAGTGTGCCCTGCCTCACAGGGTGCTAAGTGAGAATAAAATGGGGAGGGAGAGAGCCATGAAGTCTTCCCTGAGCTCAATAGAGAAAAGACTGAATACAAATGTAACAAATAAATAATAAAACAAATAAGGTTGTGCCATCTTGAACATCCCCTGAATGTTTATACAACATAATACTATTAGTAAGTCTCTACTCTGAAACTTCACAGGCTTTCACCCCTTCCTTATTCTGACAGAGATCAATATAGGGAATATAGTTTTAAACATACAGACCAGCAATACTGTTTTTCTCTTTTGGTTTTACATGTTCCAAGTCCACTGGCTTAAATAATTTTATTTCTACTAATCTAGTGCTCATTTTTGGTGTACTGAAAAACTAGCCATAAACTCAAGCAAATCTCTTATGAGTGTACCTTCCTAGAGCTTTTCCACTACATTGTTTACCCAGTTGCTACCTTTATTTTAATGGCTGGAGGTGTGCCAGGTGAGATGGGAGGAAATCAATTAAAAGGAAATAAAAAGGAGGTTATGTGAGCGGCAATGACACATTTGTACAACCTTTGCAATAGGCTCACTCTTGAACAGCTGGAACAGGAAATGTTTTCCTGCACACCTAAAAAAAGAGCACTGATTAGTCGACAGTTTTAATTGCCAGACTCATGGCTCCTTTACAGAGATGTGTGTCTATCATCTGCCGAGCTTCCAGCAGTCTAATTTTTGTTACAGTGCTGGAGCCCAATGCAGATCTGCACTCTGGCAGAAAGTGGAAGCTCAGGGGGGTGGGGCGGGGGAGCAGAAGAAATACTATATTTACATTCACTTTGCCAAACATTAGCATCTTTTTGTCGAATCATTTGAATTCAGAAGGCTTAGGAGAAAACAGCTTAGAGAACAAGGGTTGACACATCCAGTGTGAAATCTTAAGGTGCTTGAATGCAATGAGGGAGAAAGTGAGACCGAACCACATTTCAGCTCCCTAACTGTGCGGCAGCCTGCGTGAACTTTGTGACAGGTCTCTGTCTCTCAGCCACACTTGAGTAGCTTTTGCTGACATTCAGCTGTCAGGCAGCCTCCCTTTACCATGCCCCTAACATGCTCTACAGCTTCACCCAATTAACTTGCTTTCACTTGACACTGCAGCAAAAAGCTTCATAATAGGTGGTCAAGGTGCACGGAGCCTGCCTGCCCTCTAACTGCTCACGCACAGCAAGATGCTTAACTACCCTCCTTCTTGCCACTTTGCTCAGAAATGGTGTGACTATGATTTAGTCATCCCATTTGACTAAACTGAGTAAGGAAATCTGGGATGTAGCAAAGACACAATATGTTAGGTTTGTTTTACTTTTAAACAAGTTTTTTTGTTATTTGGGGAAAAAAACCCAACAAAGCAGGTTCTATTTGATCATCAAAAGAATTTGATTAAAAATATACAGGCATGGTAAATTTGATGAAAACTTACTTCATTAACTATATAGTTATAAGCAGGAAAAAGTGTGCTAAAGTCATTATCTCCAACAGTAACATTTTATGATATAGAGAGAAAAGCGCTAGGTGCAATTAAAGTGTCTTTATGATTCAGCATTCTTACACTAGAAAAATCATTAGACATTTAGATGATTACCTCTATTACATACTCTGTCAAACAGGAGGCAGTATTTTAAGTTTTTAAAAAGTGAATATCTCTCAAAGTAAGTATCAAAGTAAGTAAATGTATCATAAATCTTTTAAAGGCAGCAGGGAAAGATTTAAGATTCAGTTTTTTAAATAACACCTGCACTAAAATGAGAGCACTGCAGAGATTTACTTATTTTTGCATGATGCATTAATTCCTATTTTATGGCTATTCTTCAGAACTTATGCATGACATTTCAGACCCTGTAGAAGCAC